ATTTAATAATGTTCAAGACAGTAATCACCCTGGGCTCAGCTAACAATAGACATGGGATTCCATTGTAATTTTGTGTGAGATAATCACATCTACTTATTATTATTTATTATTTGTAATGCCTAGGAGCCCCCGTCATGGACAAGCACCCCATTGTGCTAGGTGCTGTACAAACAGAACAACAAAACAAAACATGGCCCTTGCCTCTAGGAGCTTGCAATCTGATAAAAGTGCTGTTAGATAATGGCTGCATGGATGCTGTACATTTCAACCCAAGCAGAAATATCCTGTTCAATATCCTTGTGATATATCACATGTGCCAGATAACAGAAGTTATAAAGTTTACCAGTTGCTTTGCTTATTATTCTTGAGCTTTGGACTGTTTACTTTTAGCACTCTCATTTTATTTCTGGATTTTCCATAACCTGTAGTTCAAATAATTGCCGTGTTTCTCATTTCATCATTGAGATTCTCTAACCCGTTCTTTGTGTCAAAAGCCTCTAATGAAAATGTTTAAACACTTTGATGACAGTTTTTTTAAAATTATTCCTTTGACACACACAGCTCATTTCTAGCCTTCCTTTACAGAAATAATAATGAATGAAAGTAGCAACAAACTTCACCTCTCCAGAATTCAGCTTACGCAAATATTATGCCAGAGCGAAATAGAAGGATGTCAAGAGCACTGCCACTTTTCTGCTACTCCAAAAATATTTGTGATGTTATAAAATGATTCATTTTGAATAAAGTGGGAATCACTTTAAGCCTAATCTATGGCAAGGAAATAGAAATACTGTATTTACTATGAATGCCACAGTGTTCAAATGATATTTTTTACCCCCTTTGAACCATGGGTTAACGATGGTGGCCTCTTTTACCTAAATCCCACTTGTCCTTGTTCCCACGGAAGCAGTTCAGTTGGTATTCAGCAGAGATCTAGATCCCTGATATGGCAGGGAGCAGGTCCAGGGTGTATGTGTGTGGTGAGTGGGTGGGGGGTGATCACTCCTTCATGCCATCATCACAACACTAGGGACATTTGCGAGTCTGTTCATGATAATCCTCCCTTCATTCTCTGGAGGCTAGTGTTCAATGAGGGGAATCCCTAGCAGCTCAGCTCTAACAAACGGACTAAAACGAGACAAGGGGGATTGGGAGCCAATGTGGAGGCACAGACGCTCCAGCCAGGTGGGCCACTCCACTGAAGATCTCATACAAGCTGTGCGTATTTCAGGTACCTGCTGGCTTTGTGGCCAAACTCACTACAAAGAGATGGGGCGTATACGGGAGAATCATCCACTATTACAAGCTCTGTGCTGGCATGCAACCTTCCACAATTTCCTTTCCCAGTACAGGGGACGCCGGGCCCAAAGTGTGCAAGTGATTTCAGATCCTTCTCTATGAAAGGTACCATGTAAAAATAAGATCATTGTTACCATCACCTCCTTCCTGTGGCTCCGTGCCTGATAGGGATCCACAGGATTTTGTCCCCTCTGTCCTTTATACAATAATCCGTAATCAATATTTAGGCATCTCTTCATCTATCACTGTAATGCAGCCCCTCTGGAGTGGAATGTGGCACTCCTAAATAATACACAGCAACCCTAAATAACAGGACAGGAATCAAAGAATATTTTTTCCTGTTCAGACTATGATGTAGAGGATGAGTTAATACTGTTTGGGCAATATAACTGCCCACGTCAGAAATCGGCCAAGAAACCAGGGTTATTACCTCTGCCTTTATAACATGTGCCTGGGATCTTTAATGACTATAACAGGTTTAGAGCTTAGTTTTATGCCTCATCAGGAAGACAGCGCCGCCGCTAATGTTACAGTGGACGTAATCTTGGTAGACATGTACCTGTGTGAATTCTAAATGAGAAGTGTATGTTCATTATTTGATTTGAGAGTGTATGTGTATGTATATGTAATATTAGAGCTGTTGGAAAATTTGTATTTTCCACAAAAAAAGTTTAGAAAGAAATGACAAATTTTCATATTTTTCCAAAACTCTTAACAGTTTTTTTTTAATTTTTCAACTAACTGTAAACTGACCCGTCTCTCCTAGTTTCCCCCTCTCTTTTTTTCTTTCCTTTTCCCCCCTTTCCTTTATTTTTTCCCACTTATTAAAGAAAGTGAGAAAAACCTAAAATTGTTTTGATTACATTTGAGGTTACATGTTACAAAAATAGCTATGTTTTATTTTTTTTGAAAAAGGGCAAAAATTTCCATTAGCCATAACCTATAAATTGATACTATATTTTTATTTTGATTTATATTTTAAAAATACACATACATAAAACTATGCAAAAATGACTTGTCTTTTAACTTGTATACTTCTTTAATTCATTTTTGTGTGTGTGCGAGATATTGTGATTCTACAGAAGTCCCTTAGGAGTAAAATTTCTTTATCTACTGACAGTCTAACTGCATCTTTTGTAAAAGCTAACAGAAAAATGCAAATTCAAACTCATAACTGCTGCAAATTGCTAAATTGCTACATTTTTTGAATTAGCAAACAAATGAGCAAACACAGTACAATAAGACAACAAAATACAGGGTTAAGGCATCACAAGGTGTACTTTGCTCATTTATTTGACATGTGGTTTAGGTTTAATTATTTAGGATCCAAGTGGACCGGTAAATGTTATGAAGCATATTTTATAAAAGCTTTAGTGAGTGGAATTCCCAGCTATCAACTCCCCACTGCTGATTTGGGGTCCAAGTTAGGGAACATGCTTATTAGCACCGGGTGACTTGGTAAGGACCTACTGTGAGTCTATTCCAACAGTCTCTGAAACTGCACAATTATTTCCATTTTAGCTGAATTAATGTATGACATTGTTCTTTGGCTCATTTATCACAAAATCATTAATTTTTAGTTAAGTGGCTAATGAGGATCTTCATGCTGTGTAATCCTCTCCTTCGCTTTAACTGTGCCTGTTTAACCCCTCTGGTCACTTAGAGGATGGTTGCTCCATTGACATTAGTGTTGCTTTTGATTTATTCCATTCCATGTACTTGTGAGCATTGCTTAGGGTGGCAGTTCTTTCCAAGTGAGATGTCACCTTTTGACATAAAAAGAGGCCAGTCCAATTCCTACTGAAGTCAAAGTGAGTCTTTCCATTGACTTTGGTGGGAGTTGGATCAGGCCCATGATTAGGTCAACAAATCCTCACAGTAGATTTTCTCTCTTCTTTTACGTAGCTAGGTCTGAACTATAGCTATAGTTACTTATGGGGCTGAGGCCTGCCCCTTATAAACATTTTCTAGATTCTTCTGCTTTCAGAGGCAACAGCTGGGCATCTCCAAGCTCCTCTAGGGCAGTGGTCTCCAAAGGGGTACGTGCACCCCAGGGGGTGTGCAAGACGATCAATTGGGGTGCGCGGCAGGAGGAGCGCTGCCGGAGTGGGGGGGGGGGAGGAAAAAGGGCAGCCGGAGGAGGGAGGGAATGAGCGAGCGGGGAAGCTGCCCCCCCAAACAGGGCCACCCGGAACGCAGGGGCTTTAGGGGCTGCAGGGCCCTGGGCTAAGGGGTCCCAGGGCCCTGGCCTGCAGCTCTAAAGCCCCTTTCGGAATGCAGCCCTGAGTCCTCCGGCCCGTGGAGGAGCAGGGGCAGCCGCACAGCCAGTGGCCGGAAAGAAGCGGTGCTTTCCCCTTCAAAGCTGGCTGGAGAGAAGCAGCGCTTTGAAGGGGAAAGCACCGCTTCTCTCTGGCCGCTGGCTGTACGGCTGCCCCTGCTCCTCCTTAGTCCTCCGGCCCGTGCTCGCAGGGCCGCATTCTGAAAGGGGCTTTAGAGCTGCAGGCCAAGTCCCTGGGGCCCCCTTAGCCCAGGGCCCTGCAGCCTCTAAAGCCCCTGTGTTCTGGGTGGCCCTGCCTGGGGGGGGCAGTTCCCAGAATTGTGGCCATGGGGGTGGTGCCGCGCTGCGCAGAGCCACCTGCACACACTCTGCATCAAACAAGAGCTGCCCCAGGTAAGTGCTTTGCACCTCCTGCCTGCCCCAGCCCTGAGCCTCCTCCCGCACCCCCACCCTGAGCACCCTCCTGCACCCTAACTCCTTCCCAGACCCCGCACCGCACCCTGAGTCCCCTCCCGCACCCATACCCTAATCCAGACCTTCGAATCGCTGTATCATAGTGTTAAACCAGGATTTTCAGAAATAATGAAGCATATTCAGTCACATTGCTCTCACTAAAAATATTATTATTAATAATACTTTTTTTTGAGAGAGCAAAAAGGTTTTTTGTACCATTAAATAAAATACAATAAAAATTATTTAAAAAGTATTGTTTATTTCATCTTTATCTCATCCTTTTTTAATTTCAGTTTTTTGGTATGTTTTATAATGTACATAATATATTAGTATAGTAGTACATGTATATAATTTATACATAAATAAATATACATATATTGGGGGTGCGTGCTCAAAATTTTTTTACTGATAGGGGTGCGCGATCAAAAAAGTTTGGAGACCACTGCTCTAGGGAAGAACAAAGAATTCTTTTAATTACTCTACAGTAGGGTGACCAGATGTCCCGATTTTATAGGGACAGTTCTGATATTTGGGGCTCTCTCTTATATAGGCACCTCTTATCCCCCACCCCCCGTCCCGATTTTTCACACTTGCTATCTGGTCACTCTACTCTACCGGGTCTTCAAAACTGGTCCTTTGGGACAAATTTATTTCATTTTGTAAAGCCACCTGAATTTCTGACATTAAGTGTGCAATAGATCTTTTGTTACACTCTGTCATAACCCCCCCGTATCCATAGTACCTGAGCCTCTCACAGTCATTAGTGCATTTATCCCCACAACGCCCCTATCAGTTAGGGAAGTACTATTATTTATTTATGGGAGTAACTGAGGCACAGAGAGCCCAAGGTCACACAGGAAACCTGTGGCAGAGCAGGGAATTGATCTGGGTCTCCCAAGTCCTAGCCAAGCACCCTACTCACTGGACCATACTATCGCCCTATAATCTGACTCTTGCTGTATTTGTTCAGCTAGGATTGTGTATTAGCAGAGCTTCAGCATCTGTCCTCAACCTGAACTGCAGCCTGGTCCTTTTACCGATGTGCCGTATTCTCCTGGCCTTCCTCCGAGGATCTCAGAAGGTAAACAACATTTAGAATACAGTCAGTTAACAAGGACCATGCACATAGACAGATTCCTGAAAACAGTAGAAGGGTTATAGTACACACATATTTAGTTATTATTCATTTGCTTAACTGTTTATAGTGCTACTCTGCAGACAGGTATCCCCTAGATGTGCATGGTAGATGCATTGTATGCGGCCCCGGCTCGGGATCCCTTTGAAGCCAAGGAAAGTATTCATATTGACTTGGCTAGTAGCTGGGTTGGACCCAGTGCTAAGAACATTTCTTGCTTTGGTAAGTAAGGTCATCATGTGCCTGTGTGCACAAGAAGACTGAGCGCAAATGAAGCCTTACCCCCATTTTCCTCGCTTGCTCAGTAGCTGGTGTGTATCAGGACTATTTGCTTCTACCTAAACTCAGAGAAAAGTGGGCTGCGGGCTGTGGCCCCACCCCAAGCCATGCAGCGAGGAAATACAGAGCTCCAAGAGTAGAAAAGTGGACATACCTTCCTTATTCTGCAGCTCTACGCTGCCTCCAGTGTGAGCTATTGGACATGATTGAATTCCAAATAAATAACCTATTGGGCATCCTGAAAAGAGAAATCTGACAAACTAAAGAAGGTTTGGTCTCTCTAAATATCCAGTAACCAGTAATTTCCATGGCTTGTGACTCAAATCAGTAAAATGTAAAAAAAAAGTAAAATGTTACTTGTGACAAAAATCTAAGTAACACTGTTCAAGTAATACAGACGTACTGGCTGCCTGAGGCACTTTTTGGATGGTTGCAAATTGAAGATAACTGTAGTCCTTCTCCTGTGTCCTCTGCCTTGTGCCTGACAATGATATGAGGTGAACAGATGCACAGTATAAACAAATACCTTGTCCTGTGCTATTGGTCATTTACATTAAAAACCTTCATTCACTTTTAGTGTATAGACTCATAGATCGTAAGGCCAGAAGGGGCCATTATGCTGATCTAGTCTGATCTCCTGAATAACACACACCAAACAACATCTTCCAGTAACTTCTGCATCAAGCCCATGGAGTTACCCTATTGTCTCTAATCCTGTGCCTACTAAATGTAGGTGTTGTGATCAAATAGCATTGATTGTGATCAAATAAGCCTCGTGTAAAAGTTAATTTGACAAAGAAATCACCTCTAGAACATCAATTACTTTTAACTTTATTTTCCATTGCTTCATTTTAGAAGAGAGATTGCTTGAATTCTTTTCTTACTAGGTTGCCAGCAGGAAAACAAGAAGGCTGTTGGATAAAAGTAAAACTTTCCATGTAACATGTGGTGTTACTATATGTGTCTTTTCGGGTAAGATTTTATTGTGCTGAGCACTAGCTCATGTGGGAAGCATATTAAACAATACAAGTCACTTGTGGCTTTTCTTGCGCAGTACGTTTTGGGGTAGTTTTTCTCTGTGTTTCTTTGTTTAGACGTGTGAATGTTTTCTCAGAATTTTTGAAGCCTGGGATCTAAATCTGCGTGGAAAGACTTTCCTTAAAAGTTACAGGTTCTGAAGTGTCAGTTCTTATTTCATATATGAAATCAAATTAAAAGCTGCCATCCTAACTGATTTCAGACCACATGTAGTCAATTTAAATGAGGAGGCATGGATGTTAGAGATGAAAAGACCCATTGCAAACATGTGGCCAATATATCACAATATCACAAAATATTGCCACTTTCAGTGAAGTGTTAACATAGCTTTGACACAGTCCTTGGATTCAGTCTCCCAATCAGAGAATTGTAATGGGAAAATAAACTACAGTACTTCAAAAGGTTCAAAATGAGTTGTATTTTCATATCAGCCTATCTGTCCAACTCACTTAGTACAAAAATAGCATATGGGGTCTTAGGACTGATCTTGTTTCCCCTAAAGTGAATGGGAGTTTTCCAGTCGACTTCAGTGAGAGCTGGATCAGTTCCATAAAGAAGGTTCTTATATAAAATCTGCAGGTCAGTAAATTTAATGTTCCAAATATGCAAAGGAAAATGATAAACAGGTAAAAAAAACAAGAAGAAGTCCGGTGGCACCTTAAAGACTAACAAATTTATTTGCCAGTAGGAGAACACTTCAATCTCCCTGGACATTCAATAACAGATTTAAAAGTAGCCATCCTGCAACAAAAACCCCCTGCAAAAACAGACTTAAAAGAGAAACTGCAGAACTACAATTCATTTGCAAACTTAACATCATTAATTTGGCCTTGAATAGGGACTGGGAGTGGCTGGGTCACTACAAAAGCATTTTCCCCTCCCTTGGTATTGACACCTCCTCATCAATTATTGGGAGTTGACCACATCCACCGCGATTGAATTGGCCTTGTCATCACTTGTAAGGTAACTCCCCTCTCTTCATGTGCCAGTATATTTATGCTTGTACCTGTAATTTTCACTCCATACATCTGAAGAATTGTTTTTTTACCCACAAAAGCTTATGCCCAAATAAATCTGTTAGTCTGTAAGGTGCCACTGGACTCCTCGTTGTTTTTGTGGATACAGACTAATGATACTACTCCTCTGATACTTGATAAACAGGTAGTTTATATATAAAGGCTAGTAGTAGCATAGACTAAATGGTAATGATGGAATCAGCCTAGTAAATCACTTGGGACCCAGATCTACAAACTCATATATGTAAGAACAGGGATCCACCTACACATATGAGCGATCAGGATTAAGGGCTTCACATAATCTTCAAAATGCAGTTTAGTGAACTGAGATTTGTTCTGTTTTATAGTCTTACATGTTGCCGCGCACCTGGTGAATGTTCTTAACTTCTCTGTGAACTATACTGAAGAATTTTTGGCACTAAATGCAGCAAACTACCGTGGTGAGGTGGGCGATCTGTTCTTTTATATTTTCCTTGAAATAGATGTAACTTGTATGGTGCCTTATAGTTTCCATGAGTGATCTATACAGTGGTGCTTGTCTTGTATAATGTGAAAATGCAGTATCCTGTTGATTTTTTCCCCCCTTCCTTTCGATGGCTAGAACACTAGGATTGGAGTCAGGAAACCTGGCTATGCCACTGACTTTCCGTGCGACCTTGAGCAAGTTACTTCACTTATTTATTTATATTTTATTAATCCCCCCTCCCCCAAAAATAAGGGGAGAAAAAGACAAAAAGAACAAAAAAGTAAAGGAATGGAAAGGGAGGGAAAGGAAAGAAAGGAAAGGGGGAAGGAAAGGAAAAGGAGAGCATCAGCTTGGTTTCTATCTGCTAGGAATTAAAGATTTCTAAAAAGTTAATCCATATCTTTGACAATTTGTCTTGGGGTCCTTCTTCTCCAAAATGTTACCTGCTCTTTAGCTGCCAGGACAGCCACATTGCTGAGCCAAGCTTCTGTCCCTGTAGTCAGGCTGCTTTTCCGTTTACGTAACATGAATTGTGTGGCTGCAAGCATTGCTCTAGAGGACCAAGCTTTTCATGGAGGTGGAGAGTTTCCAGGATGATGGTTTAATTTTTAAGGTGTTATCCATTATCCTGTTAATCCTCCTACCGACTTCTAACCCAAAGGATTGAGAGTCCCCAAACATGTGAGCCAGTGTGATTCTGGGGAGACCCACATCTTCAGCAGCAGTCTCCACCAGTGCCATGCTGTGTGCCCTTTGGCAAGTCACTTCACTGTTCTATGCCTTAGTTTACTGCCCTCACTGCGGCTGGGCTGTCCTTGTTGAATCATTTATGTTGCTATCATTGGCCCTGTCATTAAAACTTATAAAATGGGAGAGGCAGGAGAATAAATGTTGCATTTGCAGCATTGCGCAGACAGTGTAATGTGACATATGGACTGAAGGATGACAAGATTTGGGCCAATCTTGCTCTCATTCAAGTCAATGGCAAAACTGCTGTTGGCTTGAATGGGAACAGTATCAGATACTTTTATTGTGGCTTTAGTTGTCTGCCTGAATGAGGCTGGAAGCTGCATTCTGCTTGCAAAATGCCATACTCAGCTGACTTTTCTATCTCCGATGTATCCCCCTTAAGTCATATCAGAATGTAGGGCCAAAAGTCATTTGGGGGAAACACTCTAGTCTTAGTCTTCTCCTGCCTTTGCACTGCCTACAGGAGTAATGCTCCCATAGGCTTCCCCACTGTGCATTGCCCCCTAACTTTTCTTTGGGTGGTAGGCTTTGCCCGAAATAGGGGGGGGGAATAGGAATCATTTAGTACTTACAAGGCCAGCATTAACTTAGGGCACGTCTTCACTACCCGACGGATCGGCGGGTAGCAATCGATCTACTGGGGATCGACTTATCACGTCTAGTGAAGATGCGATAAAATCGATCCCCGATGGCTCTGCTGTCGACTCCGGAAATCCACCGCAGCAAGAGGCGGAAGCGGAGTCAACGGCGGCGCGGCAGTGGTCAACTCGCCGCCGTCCTCACAGCCAGGTAAGTCGACCTAAAATACGCAACTTCAGGTACGCTATTCACGTAGCTGAAGTTGCGTATCTTAGGTCGAACCCCCCCGTTTCCCCCCCCCCCCGCCCATAGTGTAGACCTAGCCTTATGCTCACAGAATCCTTCTGAAGTTGAGTGGAGGAATGATTCCATGGAAGGTGACGGTCTCCTTTGCTCCATAATTGCTTCTTCCCGCAGCCTGTCCCTCTCACCCATGATCCTCATGGACCTGGTCTTCACTACAAAAAAAAAAGGTGTGTTCTTAACTTGAATTAATGAACCTGAGGCAAAATCCCAGTGGAGGCAAGGTAGTTAGAAATTTTCATATGAGTTAGCAGGTTGAGTTATGGCCTATGGAGGAGCCTCGTCTTTAACTCAACCAGCTAGTTCATACAAAAACTAACTAAATGCCTTGCCTTCGCTAGGATTTTATCTCGAGGTAGTTAACTCGAGTTAAGAACCTACTTTTCCCCCCCTCTGGTGAAGACAAGGCCATAGAGCGGCTTCCACAGGATCAAGGGGATTGTGGAAGCATGCTGTAGAGTTGGCACTCTGCCCTTTCCCCTCCACTCAAAACTGCTGCTTTTTCCCCCACAACCTCCCACAAGGAAGTGAAGAGAAGAATTTGGCCTGATAGTGTGAACTCCTTGAGGCAGCCATGTTAAGCTCAGTCCTGCTCCCAGGGAAGTCTGTGACAAAACTCCAGTTGACTTCAATGGGAGCAACATAGTTACCCATGTTTTTATATTCAGCTTCAAAATCTCATCCCTCTCCTACACCTATTCGGTAGCTAGGGAAAGTTGTTTTGTAAAATGATTATCTATGAAAGCAGAGAAGTGTCTGATTGTCTCACTACTCTGCTTTCTTATTCAGTGTGCGGTTGTTTTTTGCAGGGTTGGCAAAAGGTTCAGTTTACACTGATGGAGTGTAGTAGTTGTCATTGTTCTCTATTACCAGTTACACAGTCCACTTTTACAGTCAGGTTTAGGGATCGACTGTCGAAGTGAGGCATGTGGAATTTATGAGCAGTTTCTTATATTAAGAAATATAAAATGATAAATAGCAACTGATTTTTGTTTGTTTTTTGTGTCTATTTTTCAGGACCCCAGGAAACTCCTTTTCACTACCAGTAAGTTGGTGATGTTCTGTGCAGAGTTGATAAGCTGATTAATTAGTTTAGATTTCATATTGCAATCAAACCAGAAATATATTGTCAGCCAGACAATGGTCTCATTTCCACCCATAGTGGGATTTACCTCCATGTTGCTAGGGGCAGAGCTGGGATCACAGTGTCCTTAAAGGTATTTCCTAAGTGTCCTTAAAGGTATTTCACTGTATCCACATAGCAACATACAGATGATCGTAGGGACCTATCCTGCTCCTGTTCCAGTCAAAACCAAAACTTCCATTGACTTCAGCGAGAGAAGAATGAGGCTTTTAGTTTTTGGAGAAGAGAGAAAATAAATCAAAGGTTGGACCCTCTAGAGCAGTGGTTTTCAATCTGTGGTCCCTGGTCACCTGGAGGTCCACACACTGTGTCTAAGATTTCCAAAGGGTTCTGCAGCTCCATTTGAAAATTTTAGGGGTCTGCAAATGAAAAAAGGTTGAAAACCACTGCTGTAGAGTCTCCTGTCACGGAGCAGCATTGATGGAGACAGGGAGTAATGGGGGATGGCTAGTCCAGTTTGTTGCTCCAAGTTAATGCAGGTTGCTCAATAGATCTCTCCTAATATTTAGAAGAGGAGTGAGTCTCTGAAGGAGGCAAATTGAAGGGCTAGGTTGTAGCCTGAGCCCGACTTTAGGGGCTTTTTGTTGTTACAGGACAACTGACCCACTTCATCGGCTTACCTGTCCTTTATGGACAGCCCAGTCCTGTAAGGTTTAGCACTTGCAAGGTACTGAGGAGCCTCAACTTCCCTGCCTGACTTCAGTGAGAGTTGAGGGTGTTCAGTCCCTCAGAGGTGAGATTAACCCTAAACGAAGGGAAAGCTGCTGCCTCACAGAGTGTCAGTGGATAATAACCCCTCCCCCCAACTCGAGATGGCTGCAGGGAGAATGTAACTATTTAAAAAAGAAAACAGGGATCTAATTGAGGATGTGTGATACTGATTCAGTAACCTCGATTAGAATATTTAGAAAACACGCATTAAATATAATGGCTTGTATTGCTCTGTTATCTGCAAATCAAAAAAATAACTCCCATGACTGTTTGCCATTTTTCATCATCATGCTCCAGACAAAATATTTAGTTTCTGTGTTGGTGTTATACAAATCTGCCATTTGTTACATCAAGCACATGACGAGATGAACCTAGGTTTGCTTACCCAGTAGTCGGGAAGGAGGAGTTATAGCAACTCTTGGAGTGGTGTGAGCAAAGTCTTCAGTGCTGTTGTTCTGCAGATGAGTCAGTGGAACATAGTTTCAAACAGAGATTCTACATAATATTAAAACCAAATTTCTGTATTATCCAATGTTAGAAAAAGAAATGTAACCAAAACACTGACTGGTTGTCTCAGCTGGTTTATGTCAGGATCAGTTCAGCTTTAGAATGATTAAACTGCAACATGGAAGCAAGCAACTAGAATCATAAAAATAAATGAGCAAAGAGGTTTTAGCTGCATGCACATGACAGAACAATGTACTCCCATTATGGAATGGATTCCCTGGGCCTGATGCAGGCACTCCTCACTCAGACACAACTCCCATTGACGCCTACGGGGTATGATGTTCTACTGTGTTTCACCTTGTTCACCCCTGTTCAGAATGAAGACAGAAGCTGCTATTCTGATTTGGTAGGGGTTGGTGCAAGACAGCATAGAAACAAGCCAAAAAAAAAGTTTCATTTGAAAGGACTGCAGGATGGGGTCCCGTGTCTCTTGCTCCTGTTGCACTTACTGGAATTAGAAGTCTATAGAAAACACAGGTTTCAAAGGTTCTAAGCCAAATTCAGACCAGGTGTCAGCAGGTGCAGCTTCCATAGAAAATCGGTGATATTCTAAATGGTGGTGTAAGTCTGTTGGCCAACTGGCATAGACTCATAGACTTTAAGGCCAGAAGGGACCAGCATGATCATCTAATCTGATCTCCTGCACATCGCAGAAGCTCACCCACCCTCAGAAGCTCACCCACCCACTCCTGTAATAGACCCATAATCTCTGGTTGAGATAGTGAAGTCCTCAAATCATGATTTAAAGATTTCAAGTTACAGAGAATCCACCATTTACACTAGTTTAACCTGCAGTTGACCCATGCCCCATGCTGCAGAGGAAGGCGAAAACCCCCAAGGGTCTCTGCCAATCTGACCTGGGGGAAAATTCCTTCCAGACCCCAAATATGGCAGTCATTTGGACCCTGAGTATTTCAGCAAGACCCAATAGCTAGACACCTGGGAAAGAATTCTCTGTATTAATTCAGAACCCTCCGCATCTAGTATCCCATCACTAACCATTGGGGATATTTGCTGTTAGCAGATCGCTACATGTCGTTGTAGGCAGTTCCATCAGACCATCCCTTCCATAAACTTACCAAGCTCAGTCTTGAAGCCAGTTAGGTTTTGGAAAGCTGTTCCAGAACTTCACTCCTCTGATGGTTAGAAATCTTTGTCTAATTTCAAGCCTAAATTTGTTGATGGCCAGTTTATATCCATTTGTTCGTGTGTCCACATTGGCACTAACTCCTCTTCCTCCCTGGTATTTATCTCTCTGATGTTTTTAGAGATAGTAATCATCTCTCCCCTCAGCCTTCTTTTGATAAAAGTAGTGCAGTTGGCATTGATGTGGCATTCAGTGGGTGTTCAAGGTGAGGGTTGTTCACAGACTAAGGAGGAGGAAGAGGGAAGGTGCATCAAAACCAACATCTAATAGGAGGCGCAAATAAAGTATAAGCAGTGCTGCCTTGATCAGGGAGAGGGCCTGAGTGCACATTGTACAGCCCACAGCCTCTCCATGAATGACCCTGCTTCTGTGGATACCCCGAGAGCTGTGTGGATCTTGGGGAATGCACTGTATTGAGATGAGAGCCTGCAAGGTGGAACCCCCCTCTCCCTACGGGAGTAAGGGGAAAACCTTGTGTCATTTTCATTCCCCTTCACTTCTCAGTGTATTCACTCATAAGGGATGTTTTGGCCTGACTCTAAATCAGTAATTTAATAGCATCCTTCTTTCAGCCCATTGTGCCCAAGTGTTGAAGTCCTGCCCCATTGAAGTCAGTATCAGACCTTCCATTTTCTTCACTGAGGCCAGGTTTTCATTTATGCTGTCCAGCCTAGAGATATCAAAACCATGCAGGAATTGCATATCCTACAGTATAGGAATCAATACTTGGCACAGATGGTTTGAGGCTTAAGGTGTGGGGGTTTAATTTAATTTTAAATTTTTAAGAGTTTAACTTGTAAAAAAAAATAGCAGAAGCATTCAGGTGAGAATGCAGCAACCATTTCAAATCGCTGTTATTGTGGTTGTTTGAATTGTGGTAGGTCCTAGGGGTCCCAATCAGGATTGGGGCCCTGTTGTTGTTAGATGTTGTACAAACACATTGGTAGACACTGTCCTCACCTTGAAGAATTTACAATCTAATTTGAGACAGGGGGCAACAAGTGAAACGACAAGAGGATGGAAGGAAGGAAGGAAGGACAGGAGTAGCAGCAATGAGAGTACAGGGGTGCGTAGGTAGCTATTGCACAAACGGATAGTTCCCATTCATCTTAATTTTAAATAAAATGAGCTATCCCTGACCAACCATTAGTTATTATTATTGCCATAGTCCCTAGGAGCTCCAGCCATTGTCTAGTCCCCATGCTTCTAGGTGCTGTACAAACTTTGAAAATCAGATGCCAACATTAATGTAGGTAATTTAAAGTCTTTGTCCTATCACTCTGGAATGCTGACTGCAGCTCATCTTCGCAGGTTTTGTTCTACAGTCAACAACTTCAATCATTATACTATGTTATGAAGACTAATTGCAGCACTTTTCCCATTTCAGGGTAAAATGGGTCTGCAAATGATCGTACCAACAGCTGGCATTGCAGTTGGTTTGCTTGAAATTCTCTTTCTGTGACCAATTTTTTAATTGTGCTGTTCTGGAGAGCTGTACATTTAAAAAAATATATATAACACTCAAAATTAAAATGGAAATGTTCTGCAAGTAACTAGCTTTGAAAGAGATTTCAGAAGCTATTATAAAACCAGCCTTTACAGCAAACTGAAAGCCTGTGCTGTTAGAAAGGTACCTGCTGAGATCCAGCTGGTTCATGGTGCAAAGGGGGTACAAGAGGAGAAGCGAACAGTAAATTGTGAATTTTAGAGGTATCTGTGTATACATGGACTAATGCAAGGAAGAAAACATATTTTCCCCTCTCCAGATGGAGAGTAACAGTGAAAATCTGTTTTGCACAAAATTCTCTGAAACTATGTTTATTTGGAAAATTGATTCTTAGAAATAAATAAATTACACAAATCAAATAAATCATTTTGATCAATACATGATTTGTGCTCCTAATACAGACCGGCACTTTAAATGGTCATAAAAGATGAGTATACCTTTTCCTAATACAATTTTAAATCTGTGTGTGTTTATGTTGCAGTTCCAGGACTGACGGGGGTCCTGATGGTGTTAGTTTTATTCCTAATGTGCACAGCTTCTACATATGCTATCAGGTAAGACTTAATCTGATTATTAAATTGAACATCACAGTCTGAGAAATCGTATTCTGCCGCAGATTAGAAGGCATACAGAGCAACTACAATGATATGTAACAGGCATTATATAAATGGAAGGAAAATATCAAATATCTTGTTCTATTTGTTGCACTAACTTGTAGGTGAACTAGCACATTACGTTTTGGAATCAATATTTGTACAATAAATATGAAAACTGATGATGTTTTCAGAGCGTAGATGTATTTAAGGGACATGATCTATTGAAATCTAGACAATTTTACTCTCCCCTGTCACTAGGGTGACCAGATGTTCCAATTTTATAGGGACAGTCCTGATATTTGGGGCTTTGTCTTATATAGGCGCCTGTTATACCTCACCCCCATCCCAATTTTTCACACTTGCTGTCTGATCACCCTACTGTCACTGTGTGAAAGATCCACACAAGCAAAACAGGAAACTGACTGTACAGTGGTACCAGTGAAACTAATTGTACACAAAGTGCTGTCAAATGTGCAAAGTAAATAAACTGCTGGAAAAATCAGAGGTTAATGTAGTTTTTCTTCATCCTTTCTTGGGTATTTCTTCTAACAATACATCGATAAAATATTTCAGATAGAAATGTGCCATTTAATTGACTTAGTGTCTTTTTAAGGGGATATTAAGAATTCTGGGTACCATATTTCATAATTGAACACAATAATTCTTGGTCACAGCCTCAGGTAACATTATTAATGGAGATAGTCTAGAGAGAAAATGAGCAGGGAACTGTATCCCCTTTTTAGCGCAGAGTCCTTAATGCTGTATGGTGCCTGCTCCAACGAATTAAGTGTCAGATTGCTTAACACCCTGCAGGATTGAGTTTGATAGCCTTCATAGCCTTAGGCCCTGATCCTGCAAACACTTAAGCACATGCATAACTTTTGCTCACGTAGCAGTCCGTATCCAGTACTCACTTGAGTAGATTAATGTTTTTGCAGGATCAAGAATCAAGTGTTTGCAGAATTGGGGTTTTAGATCTCGATTCAACAAGGTACGTGCAGATGTGCCTAACTCAAAGCATGAGAGATTAGTCCGAATTATGTCAGTTAGGCATATGTAAATTACATTGCTGAGCCAGCATGTCTTAGCTAGCTATTATTATTATTGTTAGGCCCTGATTGAGGAAGCAATTCAGTATGTACTTAAGAATCTTTCCTGAACAAGGATGCTTTCCTGAATCAGGACCTGAGGAACTGGCAGCCACAGATGGAGCTACAGAAGCACTGAATTTGAGCAGGATTAGACTGCAGTGCTGCTAGACTCAAGATAAGATCTCAGGATAATTGGGCAGGATGTAAGCTATACTAAAGGCTTTGCCTCCAAAGCCAAACCCATTTCATAAAAGGTGGAAACACTAAATGATCACTTCATACTGATACAGCTCTGCAGGGCTTTTCCAAAAGCAAAAGTCTGTTTTCTCCAAGACCAACATAAATTAGAAAATAACAGTAGCATTTGTTTAAATAAAAAAAAGAGAGAGATGCAATGCAAACATTCTTGGAAATAATGAAATTGCTGTGATAAAAATGTAAAACTGTTCCTGATCCAGGCAACAAAGGTTTCCCTGTTTCCAAGACTGTGTACTAGTTATATCCCGTTTTGACTATGGCAACCTCCTGCCCTTCAGTCTCCCCTCCCTAAAACTCCACTCCCATCAAAAACTCATTTTCCTCTCTTAGTGCTTCGACAATGCGTCTTTTTCTAGATTCATTACAGTGGCATCTCCTCTTCTGTATAAAGATCAAGCTTCTTTTCTTCAAGCATTCCACAGCTCTGCAGCCGCCTATTGTGTCTAAGCCCGTTTCTCCTCCTGTAATCCAATCTGCTCCTTCATGTCCTCTTTGTCTTCTCCTGAAAACTCTTTCCACTTTCTTTCATGCTGTCTCTATATTTGCAATAAGTAAAGGCTTGATACAGATTTGAGGTGAAATGGAAAAGCAGTTTCTGACATAGGAATTTTAGAACAAAACCAGTTGAAGACACTTCTTGAAAAATCGTCTTAATTAAAAAAAAAAAAGTCTTCCATGCAGTAGCTCAGCACCAGCTTGTGTAGCAACTCTCCATTTTTCATTCAAGAACCATTTGCTAGGAGGGAGTTGGAATTATTATAAAATGTAATAAAACATACATAAAAATGCTAAAATGTGATCCAATTACAAGTTAAAGTTATTCCAGGACCTTTCCCATGAACTCAATCACTAAAATATAGGATGCCACTTATTCAGGGCTTCCTAAATAAGCTCCAACGGCCCACACACAAGCTATCTTCTCAATAACATATAACAATAGTCATTCACATTATTATCTTATAAACCATCACATACACATTTCCTTCCAATGCAAATCTACACCCACCCACATACCAAGGCCAGTTTCCCAAAATAGGAATTAAACACACAATTTGAACTCAGGTTTTCAAGAACACTGATTTCTAGGAAATTAGATTTTGATAAATGTCTATTTTGAATCACAGATAGTAGATAAGAAGCAGTCTGATATATTTTAAATAGCAAAAAAGTTCTGATTTAGTAAAAAGAAATAATGTTTATTTTTAGGCAATGTAACAGATATAAGCTGTCTAGGTAAAAGGAGACGAAGACATTTCAAGAGAGGGACATAGTATATGTTTGCAATGTCTTAATAATAGTTTCTGAAATTATATAGTCAGAGTTAAGGTTATATTTTATTTTATTTTTGATTTGTATTGTGTGTGGGGATAAGGGTTTGTATTGGAAGAGAATATGTTGTGCTGCTGTGTGGGGTTGGAATGTGCTGTGTTGTGTATTTGTGAAGATAGGTATCTTATGGGTGAATATTTCCTTAATTAGCAAGTTCCTAGTTTTTTTGACTGATGATTGTATTCATGGAGAAAGGAATAAAGTTAAGTGACAGTTCACAGAGTTTTTATGTGGGGAGAATTTCCCTGGTTTTTAAAATCATCAATAGAAGGAAGTCCTTCTTCTCCTTTGTCCTGCACTCCCTGCACTTATGTGGCACTGCTTGTTCCCTGCAATTTACCTCTATGTGCCCTGGATTCCAGAACATCCTCTCTGTATGTCAACTCTAACTCCTAAAGTATCTTCATATTTTCCCTCCTGTTGCCCTTTGCCCCAGTTCCCTGCATGTGCACCATGGATACCTGCACCTGCTTCTGTCCTTCTCCCCTCTCCCTCAACTCTCTGACTGCCTCCCCTCCACACACCTTTTTACCCACTTCCCATTACACCCATTTATATTTAAAATGCTTAATAGCTACTTTCAATATTTTAAAATATAAATGTCTACAAGAGCATCAGGGCAAATGGCATGGCCTGAGGGAGCCAGTATTGGTGGCAGAACTGTGATTATAGGCTGAATTTTGGGGTCAGGGAGCCATTATGGAAGCAGGGGTGGGGAAGAAGGCTGTGTAGAGATCTGGGAAAACAGGCTAGTCTCCATATCTTAGCTCCTTGCATGTGCCCCTAGTCCCTGCTATCCTTCCCTCCCTTCCATGCCTACCCAGTCCCCTGACCTCTTTCCAACAACTCAGTGTGGGCAAATGTGCGTGTGTATATTTTTTTATATAACTGAATTGGATTTTGGACCATAACTGAATTGGATTTTGATTTTTCTATGTTTATAATTTTCATCTAGATACACAGAGCTGCTTGTAATTAGCGATGACTGAGTGTAATATCTGAGAATGGCATTAAACCACAGTTTATTCTTTACAGGCTTTCGAACTACGATATCTTCTGGTACACACACAACCTTTTCTTTGTCTTCTACGTGCTGCTGCTGGTGCATGTTTCCGGGTATGTAACAAAATAAACTGTCCCTGTTCCTTAAGCACAGTGAGGAGGGTACAGCTCACAAAGAAGGGCATTGAGGCAGGGAGCTAAGTGGCATCTTCCTGACGTGACCTTGTGCTGATCAGTATTTCACAGTGGCAATTGCTCAGGTAAAGCTTGTGTTGTGGTTGGAGCATCATTTGGTACAGCAGATTAGAACACAGCAGGGTCAAAACCTGAACCAAACCCCACTCCTTGCCCATTCCACCAAATTCTGGTGTTAACTAAAATAAATGTTGTTTAGCTCGGTCTCCAGAACCACCCTGGCTGAAGTGAAGTCACTCTCTTCCCTTTGTCTTTCCTTTCTCCACATCCCCATTGCTGTAAACACAACAGTTATTTCTCTCTCCCCAACCATTTTAAACAACCAATCTATGGGTATAAATGACCACACAAGTGTTACGAGTGGGGGGCTTGGGCAGTCAGTCCTAATGGCCAGAGCCAGAGTCCAGAGGTCTAAGTCAGGAGTTCCAGGATCAGAATCTAAGAGTGATAGCTGGAGTTTGGGACTGGGGACGGAGTTTTAGTACTGATGCCAATGGGCAGGGATGGAGCCAGCATTCAAAGGGCAAAGCCAGGTCTGTAGCCAGAGTCAGAGTTCAAGCACTGAAGCCCAGGATCAAAGCCACAGTCAGGGTCCAGGTACCAAAACCAGAGGTCGAAAGCTGGAGTTGGCCTCCCAATACTGAAGCCAGGGGTCAAAGCTGGTGTCAGAGTCCAAGTACTAAAGCAGGGTCTGGGCTCGGAGTCAGAGTTCAAGGCTGGAAGCTGAGGGTCCAACCTGGAGCCGAGGGTCTGAAAGCTAGCAGAGAGGCAGATCCATCACAGTGGCTGGCAGGGAAGTCAACCTTATTGCAAAGATGCTTCCTAGAACTCCTCCTGGATTTAAATAATGTGCCTGGACCAATCGGGGCCATGAGGGAAGCTGTCAGTTCGGCCTTCTGGGGTGATACTTCCTGTGGTTTTATCTCCACGGGAAGTATGCGGTGATGCCTACAGGTTTCCCATTGCTGTCAGGTAGTGGCGTGGAGGTGTCACCTGTCCTGCAGACCCAGGTTCTGGTCCCATCCCCACAGAACCTCACAAGGTGCAAGACTGTGGAGTTTCTCACATCAATGCAATTCCTTTGGAACAGATCCTTAGCTGGTGTAAATCATCACAGCTGCATTTGAATCAAAGCAGATGCATCATTGACACCAGCTAAGGACCTCGTCCATTGACTTCCCTGGAATTACTCCTGATTTAGACTGATGTGAGATGAGAAAGAGACAAGCTTTCGAGCTACACAGAGCTCTTCTTAAGGTCTGGGAAAGGTACTCAGAGTCACAGCTAAATACCTATAGGAGTTGCATTGATGTGAGAAACTGAGTACCTTTCCCAGACCTGAAGAGCTCCGTGTAGGTTGAAAGCTGGTCTCTTTCACCAACAGAAGTTGGTCCTATAAAATATGTTACCTCACTCATCTTGTCTCTCTTTGTAGGGTCTGAAGGTAAACAATGAGTAGCTGTTGGATTTTACAAGTGGTTAAATAGAGCACTGTAAACTTGAAATCTAGAGAATTAAAAAAAAAAAAGAGTTCCAAGTATCAGGTTCTTACATTGGACCATGATTCCTGAGTTTTCCATGTTTTTTTAAAAGGTTCCCTCTGCCCCTTCACTATTGCTATATGAAAGACCCAACAGGGGAATCTGACAAACTAAGGCCCCCATCTCGCACTGAATAAAAGGCAGGTGGCTCCCTGTGCAGACCCCTGTTCTTGCAGGACTGAGCCTGCCTGGCTATACAGGGGAATTGGTGACAATGACTCTGCACAAAGTGCTGTCTCATACACAAACTAAAAACTAGAGGAAAACATTTTTCCTACCCTCCATCAGTTATAGTAGATGTAAGATGTAACTTGTAACAATAGAAGCTAAAAACATTTCAGACAGAAGCATGTTTTTTTTTTAATTCACAGATTTTTTAAATTATGATTAAGGAGCCCTTGTCATAGACTAGGACCCCATTGTGCTAGGTGCTGTACAAAATGATGATCCCTGCCCCAAAGAATTTACAATCTAATTATAAGACAAGAAACAACAGATGGAGAGAGACAGACAGGAGAGAACACAAGGAAACAATGAGACAATATTAGTCAGCATGATAGGCTGTGGTATCAGCACACCTATCCGTTGGCAAGGTTTTTTGGATAGAGTTACCAGTACCAGTTCTTAATTCCTGAGGCTAGATGGAGCATATAACTAATGTCTTTTTGCATCCTTAGCAGCCAGCCTGAAAGGGTAGATTATAGTGGAGCAGGCATCAGGACTGAAACATCTAAGCTACTGACTAAAAATCCCAGTGGAGTTAATGGAGGCCTACCTCTCTCTGAGGTGAAAAAGCTGAATTCCATGCAGAAAAACCTGTGTGGGCAGCTTTTGAACGAGCAAGGTTTAAAATGCAAGGACCAATCCTGCTCCCACTGAAGTCAGTGGGAGTTTTGCCATTAATTTGCAAGGCTCACTCCTCCTTCCATTGATGCACTTTTGGTAAGATTAGGGACTTGCCCTGGTGTCTTTATTCAAGATGTCCCCAACTCTCATGAGGTGCTGCCTGCAGCTCTGTAAGCAGCTCAAGTTCCATTATGGGTTATAGTGTGCATAGCTGAGCAGGGAGCAGGCAGCAGTGGTGTGTGTGGGGACCATTGCTAGGAAGTGCATTAGGGTTTTTTTGTAGTCACGTTCATTCTGGATCTTCTGTTTAAAGATTGCCTGCCTCCCCGCCCTTGGGCACTGGCAGCTGGAGGAAAGACTGTTAGCATGACACCAGAGGAGCTGAGCTGTCAAGGAGCAGGGGCATGAGCAAGGGGTCCCAGGGTGTCTGAGATTTGCATGGGAATGGCAGTTCATTCTTCAGAGGACAAACCTCTTCCCACCACTGGAATGATTTGGGGAAAATTCTGCAAGGGGATATTTTTAGGATATCCCATGCCCTTTCCTCCCAGATCCTCTCCTGGGGGTTCTTCCTGGTTCTACTCTATGTATATTGTTATACTGCCTGGGTCACTACAGTATCTGAGCACCTCCCAGTAATGCATTAAGTGAGACGACTAACATCTGTCATGTATGGTTTGTTGTTTCTTTCATCCTCACCCCAGGGGGAGAAGAGAACTAGCCTTAATAATTAATGCATGTTCTGTTGTGGTACTTTTTGCAACAAGACCTGCAAAGAATTACAGTGACTTAATGTACAGATGCCCCAAACTTTAGGTAGGCTTTAGTATTAAGCCAACAATAGCAAAAAGTCAATAGGAAACACAAACCAGATGCTTTCACGACGTTATTCTACAAACATAAGGATTACTAAAACATTTGGAGCCAGCTCTTCTGCTGGTGTCAATTGGGCTAGCTCCACTGAAGTCAAAGGAGCTACACCAGTTTGCACCAGCTGAGGATCTGACCTTGGTGATATTGCTATACTTGTCAAAGGACTTAGACATCTCCTACAGGGTGAAGAATTCTTAAGATTCTACCCCTACCTTGTCCTCGATCAAGTCCAGAAGTACCAGAGCTTAACTCACCCTGGGACACCAGAGAGAGGATGCCAAGATAATCCTCAAAAAACCCCAAACATAAGTCATACGTCATTGCAGTTAACTCAACTTCAGTAGGACTAAATATTAAGTAATTAATTAAATTAATGTATTAAAGTTAAGAACATGCTTAAGTACTTTGCTGGAATGGTGTCTTCATGGCAAATACTTTATTAAATACTGGCTGGTGATCTGAAATCTGGGACATGTTTGTAAATTTTATTTTCCTGTGTTTCAAATATATTCTTCATTGGAGATTGTTTGGAGGAGGGGAGAGAAGTGACTAATGTGGTGGTACTGGATTTATCAAAAGAGCACATAGCTTTCTCAGTGGCTGTAGCTATGGTAATAGCTTTTATAGTTTATCAAAGAATCAGTGCCTTTGGAAAATGATTCATGATTGTGTGTCGCTTTTAGTAGATAATCTCTTGTGTATTGGACACAACGTGTCAAAAAGTATAATATTCAAAGAACAGGGTTAATCTTTCGTTTATATAATGTGGTTGTGGATGTATTGTAGCTTGATTGTTCAAGATTCCATTTTCAGTGAATGCTGAGGCTACGCTACATAAAAGCAAAAACGCTATTATCAAAATTAGGGTTACCATATTTAAAAAATAAAAGAGGACACTCCACGGGGCCCTGGCCCTGCCCCTTTCCCACCCCTGGCCCCGCCCCAACTCCGCCCCTTCCCCAGAGTCCCCGCCCTAACTCCCCCTCCTCCCTCCCAGCAACGCGAAAAGGGCTGCCCCAGCGCTACCGGCTTCACGGTTTGCCGGGCAGCCCCCAGAACCTGCACCCCCAGCCGGCGCTTCCCCAGTGCAGCTGAAGCCCGGGAGGGGAAGCGCCCAGCAGGGGGCACAGAGTCTGGAGGCTGCCCGGCAAACCGTGAAGCCAGTAGCGCTCAGGCTTCGGACAGCCCCCATGCCTCCGGACCCTGCGCCCCCGGCCAGGCACTTCCCCTCCCAGGCTCCGGCGGCTGTGCTCCTCCCCTGACTCTTTGGCTCTGTTTAAGAGCCGAGCTGCCCGAGCGCTACCGGCTTCAGGCAGCCCCCATGCCTCTGGACCCTGTGCCCCCAGAGCCCGGGAGGAGAAGTGCCCGGCTGGCGACTCAGGGTCTGGAGGCATGGGGGCTGCCCGAAGCCGGTAGCGCTCGGGCAGCTCGGCTCTTAAACAGACCGAAGAGTCAGGGGAGGAGCACAGCAGCCGCGGGAGGGGAAGTGCCCGGTCAGCGGTATTTTTCCCGGACATGTTCGGCTTTTTGGCAATTCCCCCCGGACGGGGGTTTGATTACCAAAAAGCCGGACATGTCCAGGAAAAACTAGACGTATGGTAACCCTAATCAAAATGGAGTTTTTATAATCCTGACATGACACGAGAGGTGACCAAATTA